TCTGGCTAAGGTAGAAGACAAGGAGGGGGAGAAGGTTTTTGACGGGGTGGGGGATCTGAAAGTGGGGAAGGGTTTGAACTTTGGCCGCCTGCCAGTTAACACCTTACACCTTTGTACTGTCGGTGGTTCTGAAGTCGATGGTTTTTATCAGGCTGTCTGCTCAGTCACTCTGCGATGATTAAGAAGTTCTGTAGTCCTATCACAAGCAATTACTACAAAGTAGATGAATATATATATGTTGCAGTACAAACCAGTGTTCGACAAGATTTTACTTTTTTTACCTGCCCTTTCGGGCAGCTGACAACAAATGTTACCTGCCCGATATGAAAAGTTATCTGCCCGAAACAAAAATGTTCAAATTTTGATAAAACAAGAAAAACATGTACTGTACTTTGTACTACAAAAATATTAACATGGTTATACAGAGGTTATATAATATACGACATCTGATTAAACAGATGCAAACATTTTAGACTGAGTTACTAACAGTCAATTGTTTTATCAAGAACATCTTCAAAAAAGTGTTTCCCTAGAGTATTGGCCTTGGGGGTGGGGTTTATGAAAACAGAATGATCAACAGCAGCAGCTTTGTTTTAAATACAATTTACAGAACATGAAAAAGTCTGAAATTTACATTAATTAAATCTTATATAGTGAATCTCATATCCAAAGATACATTTAAGATATCTTGAACTGGAGTCTCCATACAACATGATGATAAATCTAATGTTATTTATACAAGTCAGAATATAATTAGATATCTTAAATAGGTATTTTGAATTGTCAAAATATATTAATAGATATCTATTTATTTGTTTCTTTCTTTCATTCATAAAAACAAAACCATCTATGTACAGCATTAAAAAAAACCCAAAGTAAATCATACCCTGAAGTAAAAGGGTGCAGAGTGAAGTAAAAAAACTTTTTATCATATTTGCCCCCTATTTTCAAAAATCAACTTCAACAAACAAACAATCTCAAGCTGGAAAGATTTACAAATTTAAAAAATAAAGTAAATAAAACAAAATAATAAAAGAAAACATTTTATTATTTTATCCTAAATAACTAATACTGTATGTCTAATTTAGTCATAAAACAATTTCAGATAACTAGAATATACACTCACCGGCCACTTTATTAGGTACACCATGCTAGTAACGGGTTGGACCCCCTTTTGCCTTCAGAACTGCCTCAATTCTTCGTGGCATAGATTCAACAAGGTGCTGGAAGCATTCCTCAGAGATTTTGGTCCATATTGACATGATGGCATCACACAGTTGCCGCAGATTTGTCGGCTGCACATCCATGATGTGAATCTCCCGTTCCACCACATCCCAAAGATGCTCTATTGGATTGAGATCTGGTGACTGTGGAGGCCATTTGAGTACAGTGAACTCATTGTCATGTTCAAGAAACCAGTCTGAGATGATTCCAGCTTTATGACATGGCGCATTATCCTGCTGAAAGTAGCCATCAGATGTTGGGTACATTGTGGTCATAAAGGGATGGACATGGTCAGCAACAATACTCAGGTAGGCTGTGGCGTTGCAACAATGCTCAATTGCTACCAAGGGGCCCAAAGAGTGCCAAGAAAAGATTCCCCACACCATGACACCACCACCACCAGCCTGAACCGTTGATACAAGGCAGGATGGATCCATGCTTTCATGTTGTTGACGCCAAATTCTGACCCTACCATCCGAATGTCACAGCAGAAATCGAGACTCATCAGACCAGGCAACATTTTTCCAATCTTCTCTTGTCCAGTTTCATTGAGCTTGTGCAAATTGTAGCCTCAGTTTCCTGTTCTTAGCTGAAAGGAGTGGCACCCGGTGTGGTCTTCTGCTGCTGAAGCCCATCTGCCTCAAAGTTCGACATGTTGTGTGTTCAGAGATGCTCTTCTGCCTACCTTGGTTGTAACGGGTGGTTATTTGAGTCACTGTTGCCTTTCTATCAGCTCGAACCAGTCTGCCCATTCTCCTCTGACCTCTGGCATCAACAAGGCATTTCCGCCCACAGGACTGCCACTCACTGGATGTTTTTTCTTTTTCGGACCATTCTCTGTAAACCCTAGAGATGGTTGTGCGTGAAAATCCCAGTAGATCAGCAGTTTCTGAAATACTCAGACCAGCCCTTCTGGCACCAACAACCATGCACGTTCAAAGGCACTCAAATCACCTTTCTTCCCCATACTGATGCTCGGTTTGAACTGCAGGAGATTGTCTTGACCATGCCTAAATGCACTGAGTTGCCGCCATGTGATTGGCTGATTAGAAATAAAGTGCCTAATAAAGTGGCCAGTGAGTGTAAGTGTGGTAAAGCCAAATAAATGATAGATCGGCCTGCCGTACAATGAGCTTCTGACCTGGTGCTGCTGTGCTCTCATCTTCATCATCATCGTCATCAGAGCAGAAGCCGACATTAGCAAGATGGATTTATGACTGAACGAACGTCCACATTTTTTTTCATCTCTGCGGGTAACAATACATTAAAAAAACATATTTTTTTCCTCAGAAAACAGGTGTGAAAAAAGCTACGGTTGTTAAACCTTCTCTCTGCGCGATGTGCAGCAGGAAGGAGGGAGGAATTTGTGATCCTGTGACACGACAGCAAGATGTAACTTTTCTACAGCGGGAGGGGGAAATTTTGACGATTTATTCTCTCTTTACGTGTTTAAAACGCCATATTTCTTCATTTATTTTCAGAATATTTTGAATAAATGGCCCTATAAAAAAAATAAAAGAAATTGTTTACCTGCCCGGTCGGGCAGGTCGGGCATTGGGACACACCCACCTGCCCGACAATGGGTTTTACCTGCCCCGGGCAGTCGGGCAATAGAATTTGTCGAACCCTGGTACAAACAGTAATTATGTAAATGGTAAATGGACTGTACTCACCGGTATATATCGCTTTTCTATCCATCCAGGACACTCAAAGCGCTTCACACTACAATCTGTGTCCTCATTTACCCATTCACACAGCACTCTACTAGATCTCCTACAAAACTAACATGTACAATCACTGTGGAGACTAATCAGTGCCAATCAAATTCATACACTGATGGGACACACATCAGAGGCATTAGGGGTGAAGTGTCTTGCCCAAGGACACAACAACTGAGACAGCTGGACGGGGGATCGAGCCGGCAACCTTCCGGTTCCAGGACGACTCCCTTAGCCACTCTGCCACAGCTGCCCCATTATTATGTAGTGCTAAAGGTTAGTTTACAACACTAGTGTTGATGCAGGAGGTTTGGGCCTTTTATAAACAGCACATAAAGTAAGGACATTTGTGTTTGACAGATTATTTCTTTGTTGTAACAATGCTTCTTGGCAATAAATCTTATACATTAAGAAAGCCTGTTAATTTCATTTTTAAATGGTGCCACATTTGTAAGGAACATGCATTTGTGGGATGAGCAGTAGAGCTGAGGATGAGGGTTGGGCACATGAAAATTTTGCCAAATCTTCTCTGCTAAACAGCTTATTTTGTTGTTGCTATTAACACTTGTTTTGAGCTTCTGGGGCCAATCAGGTGCCTAGAATAAGATGTTTTGTCAAGAAGCACTGTTAAAACAAAGAAATTATCTACCAAACACCAATTTGCTTACTTTTTTTGCTAAGTTTATGTTAAAGCTGATGCCTTTAATGTTTTTATTAGTGTCAGAAAAAATGTTTTCTTTTATAAGGACATTTTATTTATTTTCCTTAAATTAAACCAAACACTGAGCTTATCAGTAATAATAATAAACAGTTTTAAAAGTCATATAAAACCAAATAAAATCAAAGAAAATCATCCATTAATGACACTATTTCCATATTTCATTAAAAAATAAATTTCAAGTTGTATTTAATAGGTTTAGTCATAATGAACTGTAGCTGAACTGAGTTGTCTTTGGACATTTTTAAGCTGTTAGTCACAGAGCGCTCGATAAAACAGAACTTATTCATGTAACCTCAGTGACTCTCAGGAAACAAAACAACTCTGTAGAAAGTTTTAATTCTTGGAAATGCTCACCAGAACCTCTGGATGTAATAAAGCCTCTTGGGGAAGACACAGAGACATAAAATATTAAAGTTTTTACCTTTTAAGTTAGGAAATATTAGGGACATGGTTCAGTTGTTGTAATCAGGAGGTTGATGCTGGAACTGTATGAGGGTTGCTTTTTAAATGTAATTTTACAAGTGTTCACTGCCTACTGATCGAATCAAGATAATTTAACACACCTGAAGTGAAGTGGACTTTAAAAGATAGAAAACGGTCAGTAAAATATATTTTATTGCAGATTCATAACCTAATTTTACAATTGTAGTACCTCTCTGACAGAAGAGCTCATTGGGAATAAATTTGTAATGATTTTTATCAATTTTCTGTCATTGTTAAATCATTTTGTAAACTGTCTGTCTTGCCTTAAATAGAAATAATACCAAATTTTCTCTGCTTTTTTAAAAACTGATGGATCATGATTCAGGGGTTAATCTTTATTAATTTTTGCCTCCACACAGACACTATATGTGTATTTGTTTACAACAAATTCCTTGTGAAAAAATCAGTTCTTCACAAGGAGCTAAAACGTATTTATTTGTGTTGTAAAACCATCGTTAACTGATTTAGTTCTCTTAATTCTCTGATTTATACAATCTGTTCAATCTGAAGAATGTTTAAACAAGAATTAATCGTTTTCTGTTCTGCACATTATTCTAACAGCTTGTTGGAGATTAAATATTAAATTGGGTGCGTTAAGACCTCTTTGAGTGGTGATATTTTATCCTCGCAGTGATGGATGCTCCGACGTGCCCCCCCACCCCCACCAAACAAAAAAAGCAAAGCTGACGTCTTGCATAAATAACATAATTTTCTGTTGTCTTCTCCATTTTTCCTCACCGATACACGCGTAAAAACTGGAGCTTTATGAGTCAGTGAGTGTGCTCTCTTCTGTTTGCTCGCATTACCTCCCTTCCCCCACTCTCCTCTTTCAGTGACACAGAAAAACCAACGTCCCCCTCCTCCTCCTCCTCCCCCATCCTCTCTCTTCTCGGCTGCCTCTGCCCCCCTTTTTTCTCCAGTGGAAGACAAACGCTTTTTATTCTTTCTCTCCACGTTTCACCCCAACATGATTTGGTCCCACCATCTTTTTAAAAAATATATAAATCAGCTCATCACATGTGTCACGTTGTTACACGTTCGCTGCCGCCTCTAAATCAGTGTTGATGCTGCTGCTCCTGCAGCCTCCTCTGAAAACTGCTCCTGCCTACAAATTCACTGCTTTTGCCCCTTTTTCTCTTCATTGTTTGCTCCATCCATTGCTCACCCTCCCTCTCTCATTTTTTTTTTTGTTTCTCAGCATCCCTCCCTGGGAACCCACCCACCCCTCTTTTCAGTATTTCATGTTCTCTGCATCTCTTCCTCCTAAAATTCATCTCTTTGTGCCAATTTGCCTCCAGTTTTAGGTCCATCGTTCGCCTCTTATTTTTTCTTTCAGCCAGGGGTTTCCCACTTTACATCCAAGATGTGACCGGACTTTTAAAAAGCCCTCCTCTTCAGTCCGTGCACCCACTGCAAGGACTTTTTTTTGTACTCTTTGCCTTGGTAATCTGGACTGGGTTCAGGCTGCTGTTCTGAACAAGAAATTAGATTTTTGTTGGCGGGGTTGGTACCACAAGTCGAGCCTCTCTTGTTGGGGGGGTTGGTACCACAAGTCGAGCCTCTCTTGTTGGGGGGGTTGGTACCACAAGTCGAGCCTCTCTTGAGCTGACCGAGCGAAGGTGTCAGACCCGTCTAATCCGCGGTAACAGATTAATTATCTCGGAGCAATATCATGTCACTGTGGTGATGCGAAGTCATTTGGGAGTTAAGCGACGAAGGGGCAACAATGCAATGTTAAAAAGTCCCTCAGGGGTGTCTCCTCAATCTTAATCCCTCCCTCCCCTCCCCTCTACTCGCCCCCCCCCCTCTCTTTCTCTCGCTCACTCGCTCGCCAATTCGCGCTCGTTGAGAGCTCCTCTCCCATCCATCAACACAAGCACCTCTTCTCTGTCACCAGACAACCACACAATTATTGACCCTTTAATATTTCAGTAAACTGACGGAGTCGCTGGTATCCCCTCACTCCTCCCTCTTCTGATTGTGGCAACATTTATATTTTTTAGGCATGTCTCTGAGTGGGTTTTTTTTCAGGATGATGAATTTTCAAGAGCATCAAGCGCTAACGGCAGCCACCATACCTCTCTGAGTGGGTAAATATTTCACGGGCACCAGCAGAGAGAAGAGACATAAGGAGAGAGAAAATCCCCCTCATCAGTCGACAGAGGTAAGAAACTGATTCTTGTAGAAAATTAATCATCCTCATTGAAATGGAATATAATACCCAACACATGTTTATTTGACAGTTTTATTGTTTGTTTCCAATATGGCTCCATAGTTATGTTTTGCAAATGTGCTCAGTGGGTTTTGGGTGAAACCATTATGCTGTTTTAGCCGCTGGGTTTCATCTGTTATCTTTGCAACCATCAAGCCTAATTGTCTTCTTCTATGGACATTTTTAGGAGATGCAAAACAGCAGATGATTCTCTAATGCTTTGATCGTATCCACTAATTTATTCCCCAAATATGTCAAGAGTCAGAAAATTACCTGAAAGTTTTACCGGTGTCCACAGATTTTGTCCCCTCCAAACTTCATGTCACGGTGGACACTTCAGCTGTTTTATTGCCTTTGGTCAAGAGTTGGAGCAAAGGGAATGTTTTTCAGTGTTTAAAGCTTTTACTGGCTTGGTAATTAGTTTATCTCAGCTGATAAAATGGGTCCTAAAGATTCTCATAAATGATGGTCCCTAAAGAAGTTTTGCTGTTGGGAAGCTTCAAGTTGACGACTTGAGGCAATAATCATGACAGATGTTATGAGGTCTGATTGGCAAAGTGCATCAGTCCAGCTGTAAAACCCTATCTGTGCCATCTGATTCAGTCTCTGAGTCAGACAACCAAAAGCAGAGAAGGTGGGGAGAATTTTCGTGCGCTAAATATGATCTTAAATACAGCTGACAGAAGATGCTTTAGCCCAGTTCTCATAAACTGCCTCACAAAATGGCCCTTTTCTTTACATGCAGACATCATGGAGTCTCACATATGTGAGAGATATCATTGCTGCTTCTGAGTGAGCGTTACGAAAAAACAAGACAAAATATTTTTCCTGTTACAAAAACAATCTGAGCTTATATTAAGGTTAAATGGTGGTTTTATTCTGCCTCTCTCCTTGTCTTTACCATATTTTTTATTTTTTTATTTTTTGGTAGTTCCTTTCCAGCGGTACGGCTCAGAAGCTCACATATTTGTGTCTTGTTACGCAATGATGTTAATAAGAGACTGGCAGGAGAAATCACGTCACCTTGAGGCTTCCTATCTGTGACAACTGCTGAGTAACCCCACCTCTCCAAGATCCCCCCGCCCCTCGCTTCCATCAGTTCCTTATTAACATGCTGCTGTTTTTTAATCGGAGGAGATTCTTCACCTGATCTTTGACCTTTTCAATAATCTTCAATCCATCTTAACATGTTATTGTGCAGAAAGGTGTGTCCAAACATTTTTAATGTCGGGGGGCTACTGGGTGGCGCCAAAAACAAAAGCCAGAGCGAGGACCTGCCCCCCAGCTGCACCTTATATAGCAGCCCTCTGCTCCACATGGGGGCTGTGGCAGCTGAGTGGTCCTATCAGGAAAGACATCTGGCATAAAAATAATCCCCAAATCTTAAAAAGAGTTCAGTTGCTGTGACGACCCCTGAAGAAGGGAGCAGCCGGAAAAAAAATTACTGAGAAAAGCTCAGTCACTACTCAGTTTACTGAAGCTTGTCCTTTCCAAAATTTACATTGATAAGACTTATTATGTTTATAACTTCTTGAGACACAGCATCCAATTAGCATTAGACGGGAAATCCTTATTCAGAGCGGCTAGATTGTAAGTATTTTTTTAATGTAAATTAAATATATATTTATATTTTTAACACCTAATTGCTCAAAAACCTTTTATTCCCTAAATAACAATGAGAAATTAAAAATGAACACAAAACAAAAGCTTGAGAAAATAAAACTATCTGACCAAGGTGGGAGAGAGACCAAGTTTTTAGGTAGTGGCCATTGCCCCCTCCCCACCCCCTCTTGTTGGCGTCCCTGTGTACGATACTCAGAAGTGCTACATTCCAGGAATTTTCAAATTAAGAAAATTTCAACAGGGGTTAATGGAAATTGAGTAAACCTGGAATTATTAATATAAAGGCTTGCTTTTAACAAGGTTTTTAACATAGTTGGACATTTTATTTTGCGTAATCTTAACTGAAACAATCAGGTTGTATTGCTGTTCTAAGCAATGAGATGTATCACATCCTAAAACAGAATAAACTATCACTTTTTCATCAGCTTTATGTCTGATTGCATCCACTCTCTCACCTGCACGTGTTGGGACAAATGGAAAAAAGAACAGTTTAGTTCAGAGTTGTAAATAATTTTGTTTTTAAATGCAGTTTACTTATTGTTTGTAGATAAAAGAAAAAAATAAACCAATGCAGTGATGAAATAACATGTGCGTAGTTTTGATCAGAGTTGTGGGAATGAAATTGGACGTTTTTCTGTAAATAGATTTAGACATTTTGTTTATTTTCTTTTGGGATTTGCAATATTCAGATTTTACTGCTTTATATAAAAATGGCAATGTAGTCACGTCAAAAACAAAACAAAAAAGTGAGTTCTTAATGTTCAAGATCTCTAAATGTTGTGTTGTTGACAGACATCTTCTAATGCAAATTATGTCACTTAATTTGCTATTTTCCCTAACATACAGTAAGATTAAACTCATCATGTTATCTGCTTAAGTTGAAACAAGATGTTTGAATACTTGTTTGGATATGATAGTTTGTTTCAGTCACCTCTATTTCCCAGCGATTTTCCATAATTACCATGGAAAGTTTCCAATTTGGAAGGCTTCCCCACCTTACCTTTTCAATGAAAGTTTCCAGAAAGTTTTGTAAATTTACTAGAAATGTTCCACCCAAGTGGTACCTCAGAAGACTTTTAAACTGACACTGATTATCATCGTGGCTTTTTGTATTGACCAACTTCACTGGTGGTGGGGAATCTCAACGGACCAACTAATTTGTCTTTTACCGTGGAATTGTTCCTTCAGTTGTTTATTGCGCCACTCGAAAGGCTTTCCCCCTCAGTAGCTGATGAATGTCCGTGGCAGAGCTGCTCTAATTACATGTCTAATCAAATGAATTTATTAAATCTAAATGATTGTGTGTGTAAAAAGATCACGTTTGTTTACGCTGCTGAGGTGTGGATGGATCTGTTCAGTTTTAATAATGGAAATGGAGCGCTGGCAGTGAGTTGATTTGTGACAGTTGGGCTGCTGGACCCATTAGGGTGAACGGACTTACTGTAATGGGCTTAGAGCGCTGCTGTCTGGGCCCGTGGGCGATCTGGTCCTCTGTTGCAGCCGACCCAGACCTGAATGATGAGCTTGTTCAAATGGAGGCAAAAAAAAAAAAAAAAAATCAAAACTTGTTGTCAGGCGCTACATTGAACTCTGCAAATGTTTGGATGTTTTATAAGCGTGGCAGCTGCCTCTGTGAGAGGAATCAATAGAGACAGAAATAAGCCTCAGTAAAGTAGAACAGAGGGCTGATTTAAAGTTTTATTTATTAAAAGAATCTGTTAAAAAGGCAGACGTTAAAATCACACACAAGCACAGGACTATTGATGCAGATCTGTGTCAGGCTGTGAAATTAGCACTGAGTTGAGCTTTATCACTCTTTATATTTGATAGTTTTAATAGTTTCCTCTGTTCAATCTTTTGAGATGTGTTAAAATGCTTCACTCTCTGATGGCTTCTTAACGTGTAGAGCAGGGGTGTCAAACTCCAGTCCTCGAGGGCCGCTATCCTGCATGTTTTAGAGGTTTTCCTGCTCCAACACACCTGACTTTGATGGCTGGGTGATAACAGGCTTCTGCACAACTTGAAGAGTTAATTCAATCACTGAATCAGGTGTGTTGGAGCTGGAAAACCTCTAAAACATGCAGGATAGCGGCCCTCGAGGACTGGAGTTTGACACCCCTGGTGTAGAGGTTGTTCTTGCCCATACTGACCTCTGTTCTGTCTTTGGTCCAGTTTACATGATGGTGTTTTTAGGAGAAACCAACTCATTTCTGTTGTGTTTCAATTGTTCATGTACAGGACAACAGCAGTCATTTTCTCTGAAACTAAAGCTTTTGGAGTGGAGGTTTTAGGAAACGCCTGACATCTCTGTGAAATTATGCACTATGGACGGCTGCAGTCAGTTTTTCTGTGCTCGCTCCAGTAGATGAACAACAGTAACAATGGCAGATACATTAGCAGAGTGCCGTTTGTGTTTCTCACTCTTTGGTAGAATCAACTTCATCCTTGGTGCAAACTACGGTTTGTGTTTTCACCAGTGGTAGGCACAACTAACCGAAAAGTTAGCTTTGCTAACTCAAAATGTGCTAACATAAAATATAGCCTCGCTAGCGCTAAACAGCTACAAATAAAAATTAGTGGAAGCTAAAATAAACAGCTAAACACTAACTGCTAAGATGACTGTCCCACATAGACTGCAGCCTACCTGGGCCGTAGGTCAACCATGTAGGTGTGGTGGCAAGATTTACCAAGAATGCAGAAACACGTTGGAATAAATGCACAGAAAGTCTGCGTGTATGGTTGTCAAATGATTTAATCTGAGCAACAAAAGAGCAGAAGTCAATTAGAGAAGTCTGTCAAGTTGTGGCTGCCGCATCAGCGCAGAGCAGCCGATAATATAACATCCTGCAACACGTTTACAACCAATTACAGTTCGACAACTGTAACCACCTAACCAATAACAGGGCTCTCAGCCCAGGAACTACCTTATCAAAATAAGAGAGGTCATGCATTGCTGGAGTCTTAAAGTCTAGGGCAACAGATTAAAACAGCCGAAACTAGTTATCATAAGATATGAGTACTGGACAGCGTCAAGGTAAAACAGTTATACATAATTATTCCATAACATAGGCTTCATAAACTGCTGTGAAATGAGATTTTTAGTCTACAAATGACTTATGTTTGCATGACTATGTGCTACCCCGTTACCATGGTTTTACAATTGATATCACGTCTTCAGTTGTCTTTCCAGAGTATAACTTTACAAAATTCAGTATTAAAAAACATTGGCAGGCTAAATACATAAAAAGCATTAATAATTTGGGTTTGGCTCCATTATCAGTATTTGTAATTGCATATTATTTAACATCTCATTGCAGCATAAATTTGTCAGCTACATTGTTAAAATTACATTTAAAAACAAATTCTTTGGTCCATGATGAATTTCCAAACTCTGCCATAAAAAAAACAACTTTCACCATCTTTGTTTTCCTGTTTCGTTTGCTGATGGTCTCATGAATCCTGGGGTATTGTCGGCCACGTTTCCTGGGTTTTGTCGGCCGCATGTGTAGGCACCTAATTGGAACAACCTGTGGCACATTGATGTAAGCAGCCGACAAATGCGCCCTACGTTGGCTGCAATCCTTGAATTGAGGCTCAGCCTTCGTCTCCTTCCAGCTAAAGACTAGTGGGACTGACATAAACCTGCTAACTGGTCTGCTAACAGTTTTCAGCGATAGTGACAAAGCTAATCTGTTTAATGAAGAATTAGTTCCGCTATTAGCTGTTAGCTGGTTAATGGGACCACGCACACCACTGTTATTCACCATGTTTGGTGTAATTGTTTTGTCAAAAAGAAAAAATAAGTAGGTCCCCTGGATGGGTTCTTCTTTAGTGAAACGTTTCGTCTCTCCTCCAAGAGACTTCTTCAGTCTGATGAGTTTCAGGTGAACTCAGCTTTATAAGCACTGCCTCCACATGGTGGACAAACAGGTTAGCCACATGCAAAAGAGGACCATCGCCTAACGATAGTCTTGATTGTTCATAGAGGGTCATGCGCCCCATCACCTGACTTATTGGTTTGGATGCTTCGGCTGTGGTTCTTTGGTGTCGTGTCATGTGTATGTAGTGAGTGCAAGCGGGGTTCGACGTCCCCTTGTTTTTGTCTGTTCGTAATTGTTTTGTGTTCGAGACTGTGTTTGTGTGCATGTCGTTAAAAACAATACAAAAGTCCTAGCACTAATTAACCTAAAAAATGCAGAAGTTTCCAGAGATTGTTCATGTGTAAAGGAAGTCTTTGTTGAGTTAAATCTAAATATTTTTTCCTCTTTATTTACCCTTCTGTGTCCCCTCATGACTAGCTTTAGTAAAAAGTTGAGTGGATGATGACATCTTAATTCATCTGGTTTAATGTTGTGGCCTTTCTTACAACGTGTACACACTCCTGTATATTTTCTCTAGGAAGATCTCTTTTGAAAAACCTTGACTGTAGGTGGTAGTAGTTTAATTTTGTATTATACTGTAGTTTATGCAGATCCTCTCATTTATGCACCATTTTAAAATTAAGATGAAAAATTATTTTGTAGAAATAGAAAAGGCATTGTCTAATGCATCATTGATTTGATGTTACAGGAAATAAAACATAGTTCATATATTTTTAAAGTGGAGTTCTGTGGAAAAGTTACAAACAAAAAATATATTACCTGTTGTAGATAGCACTTTGAGCCACCTTTTCAGTTTGGAAAAAAGAGTTAATTTCAAAATTTATTTACAAGCTAACAGCTAACCTGAATGGACTGCTGCCATTTTAAAACAACCTTAATCTCAAATACATAACATTTAGACAATCAGTTTTGTGCTACGTGGTTATTCTGGTGGAAATATATTGAAAATCCTGTTGGAGGTTACTCAGATTTAACAATAAATGCAACAGCTAGATGCTGCAGCTGCAGTTTAAACCCGCAAGTAACCAGAGACTTTTACGCAAGCTTCCTTTCAAGTTCCTCAGCCGAGCAGCGTAGAGACACGTTCCTACGTTTGCATTTTGTGCATCGTCTGTTGGAAACTGTGACAGTCTCTTTGTGACAAGTAAGATATTAATTGTTTGTACCCATTCCACAGAAACCCACTTACAAAGATCCAAACTATCCACCTCGTGTGTAAACTCATTAATCTACACACTTGAGGATTCTTTAGGTGCTATTTTCAGCTGTAACTATAAGACGAAGTGGTCTCAGTCCTTGTTGACTCGTTATTCTGTGCTCAGGAAAACCTTCACCTCCCTTTACCCCTTTTCATCATCCCTTCTTCCTTCACGTCACGATTCTTCTGACCCCTGTTTTCCCTCCTGCAGGGTGGAGGAGGGGACAGCTGGCAGTAAAATAAAAAACTAATAAATTTTAAAAATGGCTGCCATGACAACAGTGCCCAGCTACACTGCTTCGATATGGGTGAGGATGTGTCACGCTCTGCCCCGGCTGGACTTCGGCATGCAGATGAGGGATAACCTCTTCGTCCCGGACAGCTGGGAGTACCAGCAGGTAACGGACTCCTGACTCAGGTGCTCACATCACGTCTTAACTTGAGGTGCTTCACTGCATATTGATTACTGTGTACAGGTCTAATTTACTACAAGGATGAGCAATTTGTGCCACACGATTGTAATAATTGCTCCGTAAATCCCTGAATTAATATCAACCCACTGAACCGTGAAAACGACATTTACAGGGCTCTAAAACTCTTTTCCATGTTTATTAATTGACACAATTATAGGTGTAAGATCGCACTAAATCCCTGCAGTTACCTCAAGCATGGTCAGTTTTTGTTGAGATACTGTAGTCCTTGAGAGAGAGTATGCTTTTCTCTCTTTGCATGTTGCTATTTTTGCATTGCAAAAATGCAACGTTTCACCTCTCTCCCAGCAAGCCCTGTCTCATGGTGGTCCTGATTTTACTGGAGAGGAGGTGGGTTCATCCTGCAGAACAGAAAGACAAAAGAGACAGAGCACTCACAGAGAAGGGGGGGGGGGGGGGGGGTGTGGGGAAAACCCGGGTTTTGGGGTAAGTGGGGGGGGGGGGGGGGGGGGGGGGGGCGATGGGTGGAGCGAAGCGATGAGGAGGGGCTTCGGAGAACAGGAGGTGAGACAGAGAGGAAGGTGGAGTGACAGACGGACAGATGGATGGAGGATAATACTGCAGAAATGTGTCTGGAGCAAAATGTGGTTTCAGTAATGTTGACTTTGTGACATGGATCAAAAGTGGAATCTGATATGGCTTAGTGTCCTTAACCTCCATCATGGTGCAGAGAAACATCAAGGTTTTAAAGGAGGTATTATGTATTTTACAGGCAAATAGTTCAATTCTATACCACAATCCAGTAGCTATGTTACCTTCAGTTGTTATGAAAATGCTGAATATATCAAAAATAAATTTGACTTTGGGTCAAACTCCTTGAATTTGGCCTCTGTCTCTTTAAAACCTCCTACAGTTTCTGACACTCCACTTTCAGTATGCCTTCATAACAATGCTTCATGCATTTTACAGACTTTTGTAGGAGTGTTGTATATGTTTGTAAAAAAAGAAGCAACATTATATAATATCTGTTTTGGAAAATGGAACTCAGTTTAACTTTACTTGAATGGAAAGTAAGTTTTCTGAAGAAGCGGAGTGAGTACAGAGGCTCTTAAAGCTTGGTAACAGTCATCCTCTGATACATATACGTCAATGTTAAACTACTTTTTGCGAAGAAACTGTAACTGTATAGAAAGCTGTCATTGGTAAAATGCCCTGCACTAATAAAAAACAAAAAACTTCGGAGGAGGTTTGTTTCGTCCCAACTATTTTTGACGAACCGTGTTATCCTTAGGAATCGCAAAAAAATTAATTTGCTCGAAGGAATTTTTTAATTCGAAAAGGATTGAACTGAGAAACAGTTAGCGTTACAAGCTCGACTGGTGTGCAGTTCCACCAGGTGTTTGCTAATTGTTGCTGCCACTAGTGGTGGAGGTGTGTGGGGGAGGCACCGGGGAGGGGTGCTCTGTGGGTCGGGAGCTCAGCTGCGGACTGAGCTCCAGGGAGGAGCTTTGTGTAAATAGGCGGTGCTTTGTATGAGCAAACATTTAGGTAGCTCTGAATGGCTACCACAGGTGATTGAAGGGTTTCTCTAACATGCATGAATGAATCAAAGCAACAGAGATTAACTTTACAACATGATATAAAGCTCAAAAAAGTTGATCTTGCATAATGCACCCCCCTCCCCCCAAAAAAAGGGTAGATCATAAAAAATATGCTGAAGTTCACAGTAATGTGTGCAGGAATTATGTATCTATATGATTTTTCACCTTTAATCACCACGTCCAGCTGTTAGTATAAACGACAGATAAATATATATTTTTAAACATGCCGACTCATCAGCCTTTCTTAACCCACCTCCTCATCCTTTTTTTTTTTACAGACTTTGCTGGTTCTGTCCAGCCTGTCGGCCATCGCTCTCGTCATCTCCCTCTTGGTGGTTCTCTCCTTCCTCATACACTACTGCTGCTGTCACCGTGGTGACCGGAGCGAGGGCTCTGAGGAGGAGGAAGATGAAGACGGGAGCACGGGTCACGGTTACAGTGGGAAAAAGGGGAAGGGCATCTGCTGCGTCACATGGGTGGCGGTCGCTGCCGTAACGCTGTGCTGGTGAGAAGCAGAGGTTCAGATTCTTTGAATGGGGTTATGAGCAGTTAATATCTTACTTGTTGTAGATGTTGCTATGAAAGGCCTTGTTTAAAACTGACCGGATGGAATATAATAATCTGTTAAAATAGTCATGTAACTCTAAATCCACAGTGATGTAAAGAATTTTTTTTTAATTTTCAAGGCTGGAGATCTTTTTAGGCAGCAGAAAACAAAACGGACCAGCTGTTTGCTCATCAATCTGGTCAGAATTAAACTCCATCTGTAACATGATAATAATAAATTGTACAGTTTATTATTTAAAGATTAGCAGACTTGTCTCCTGCAGAATGAGGTTTTTGCCTCACTTTCTGCATCTCTTCTTAAAAAGTCGTTTAAAGATCTGACAAGCAGCTATTGTGCAATTCTCACTTGGCTGCTGAGCAAAAAATAATTTGCTTTTTGCTCCACTTGCAGTTAAGAAACAGACTTTAATTATTAGCTGTAAAACAGGCTGTTCTTTGTTCTCTTTAAGTAGCATCGACTGTCAGTTTAAAATATAAAACCTGCTTTTAGCTGCCAATATTCTAATTATGGTAATTATTCAAAATTACTCAGCTCACAATAACCACCAGGGACTGCATGTTTTGTAACTTGGGTTGATTTCAAATATTAACTCACTAAAAATGAATGATTGGACAGAAGCATGTGAACACATTTGTACCATTTTCATGCTGTCTTTACTTTTACTTCCACATTTTAGGTTTTAGAAATGATAACAATAGGACTTCTCTATAGTTTCTATTAGGGATGTGTATTGGCAAGAATCTGGCGATACGATACATATCATGACAGAGAGGTCACGATACAATATATCCCGATATATTTCGATACTGTAAACAAGGTGATATATTGCGATATTTTTGGTCCAAAAATTCTATTAAATAAAAACCTCTTACTGGAGAAAAAAATGAAAAACCAAAATTCATTGTCTCAGAAAATTCTAATATTACATAGACATACTTTTGATACATTTAACTGTGTTCTGCATTGTATGTTTTATTTTATTTGTTTCATCCATGTTTTCAATTATTAGACTAAATTTGCCAATAAGTAGTTTGAAAATATATTTTTTGCAGCTTTTCGTTTTTAATATTAATTTATAATATGGTCACCAAACACTTAACAATAGACTTTATGTTGTCATTAAGTTCAGTAAACATGATATGAAGCTGCTGCACACAGAGTTTCTGGGATCAGCTGACCTGCATCCAGAACATGATTTGCATAACTGTGGATCGAACAGCAGGGCAGGTCCCGAAGAAAACCAGTTAAGAAATTGAGAAGCTAAACGAGTTAAACCGTTTTTGAAGCGAACACAACAGGATAAACTTAAAGTATATGGACTTTGATGCGATGAGCCAGATATTGAGAGCAACAGACAGAGTTTTATGTCACGGGGGGAGTGCCGAGCTCGCTCGAGGTGATAGACGCATGCGCTATGCGTAACGTGAAACCTGACTACAGTTGGAAAAAAGAGCGCACAAGACACTTAATTTGTCTTAAAATACAGACATTCTGACAAATAAGTAACTGTTTGTAACCTTACCTCAGCTTAGAAGGCAGAGGGTGTCGGTCTTTTCTGCTCGGATTCAACTATCGGAGCATAAAGCTAATATTTACTTACAATGCTAATGCTATCTTACTCTCTGGCGCTCAAGAGGTAGAGTAGCCAAATGTCTGGCTCACTGCTGCCAACTAGTGGTCAGAGACTGAACTACAACATAAAAATGAATGGCTGGCAGGAAAGTTGACATTTGAAACCTTAAAAAATTGATACAGGGCTTTAGAATATCGATACAGTATCAGGAAATGAAATATCGCAATATTTCAGTGTATCGATATTTTCTTCCACCCCTAGTTTCTGTTACTTTAAACTGAGTATTTTAAATTCAGTTTTAACTTAATCTTATTTAATAAGTTTTGACACTAAAACTTTAGGTTGTATGAGTCAGATTTTCACAGTTAGAAGAGGTTCTCATACAAAAAGACATTTCATATAAATAAATTATTTTTATCTTAAGATATAAATAATTTGAAGCTTTACATTTCTGCTTAAACATAACTTTTCTGTAAGTGGAATCGACACAAAACGATGATTCAGTCTATAAATAATACAGCACTGTGCAAAAGTTTTGACCCATTTTTGGGTTTTAAATTTTTGAATTTAAGGATTGTTTTGTAATCTTTTAAATTGGTCCTGATTATTGGTTCCTCAAATTATTCATTTTTTGTCAAGTTTTTGACCATTATTAGTGGGATAACTATTTATGTTTTTAAATGACTTAAATCCAACCAATATAAAAGTCCTAAACTCAAAGAATGAAACGGTGTAGGGTTCACCAGCTCTTAAAAAAAATAAGACGTCTTTAACCACTTCATCATCAGTCTGTTGCAGTGACACAATTTGTTTTCATTTCTTTAACTGAATTCATAAAAATATTTAATTTGACTGTCTGACCCTCTTAAGTTCTTTGCATTAACACAAATAAAACCACAAAAGAGACCCCAAAAAGTAAGTAAAACTTTATTTATATAGCACATTTCAAGATAGAGATCACAAAGTGCTTCAAC